ATATATGTTATTGGGATAGTACTAGGTACTCTTATGTTACTTTAAATTTTTCAGAAACATTCTTTCTGGTGCTAAGTCTGTGATGTCAGAGCTTTTTGCATATAATTTTAGTTAACTTCTCTTATCCTCTTACTGTTTTGTTTAGACTCTTAAATTGTCCCCTGTGGCTAATAATGAATTCCATTCTCTGTCCCTTAAAACGATCCTTCTGATAGCTGACTAAATCCCATGGATTTTGTAAAAAATTGTATGCTAGGACCTTTGTGACCATGAAAATAGAAAGGTCTCATATGACCCCCAATGACAACATTGCTTCTCCCCTTGACTTTCACCAAAATGCTTTGTACCATGTTTCCTTCTTGTGTTTCCTGAATTTGTTTATTATCCTTCTAAGATTTTTTCACATAAATATACCTTTTTATTATACAGCTCAACCTTGAGTTCCCCTCACACCATTATTTAAACTGATCTATTCAAGAGTTTTATACCATCAGGTCTCAGTGATTTCTATTTATGTGGTCAAAAAATTTTTTTTAACTGTTTTAGGATTACTAGGTTTTGGTTTTTGTTTTTGGGGGGTTTTTTGTTGTTTGTTGTTGTTGTTTTTTTGCTTGTTGCCTAAACTTTGGGTATTTTTACATAGATGTCTAAGGCCAAGGGTTTTGAAAAACTGAATTCTTACTTTCTTAGATTATCTTGTGAACTCCAGAATGTGTTATTTCTTCTTCATTCTGGCTACTATAGCTGTTTTCTGTGGTATCTGGATTGAGGGAGAGAGAGACAGACAGACAGACAAATAGTGTGTGTGTGTGTGTGTGTGTGTGTGTGTGTGTGTGTGTACACATATATGTAGCCTTCCTCTCCCATTCTTTTTTGCACCTTTGCCTTCAGTGGGCAACAGGAAAACTCAACCTCTGCACCTATTCTTGCCCATGTGTCATAATCGTTGGCAATACTTTATAGGTTCACTCTGGCAGCACCATTTACATCCATCTAAATCAGTAGAGGTTGGTAATTGTCATTTCTTTTGATAACTGTTGGGAGGTTATTATGTCTTAGATACATATTATGTTAAGACAGCATTCCTTTTTTGGGTTATTACTAGGATGACAAATAGTGACTTCATTACTCCACGATGTCACAGCTATTTTCATAATAATATTACAACATTATTTGCCTATTAAAATATCCCTCTGCTTTCCAGTATCTGTGTGAGTTCTGATTTTCTTCGTATACTTCAGCAAAAAAGCATCACAACAGATTGAATTGAGGAGCAGATTTGAGAATTCAGCTGTCTTCCCCTAAGCCAGACATTAAAGGTTTACGAATGCGAAAACCATTTCACTCTTTTTGCTAATTTTTTTTTGTTCTGGAAAATATATTTGTTTGTTGTTTAAAAAATGTTTATGTTAACATGTAATCAATTTGTTATTTTTAAGTGAGTTAATTAATATTTTAAAATATTACTAGTTTTAATTTCTAATTCAGTAAATATTGATACCTATAACCCGCATAAATAAAAGCTCTTTGGAGTTCTCAATAATTTTTATGAGTATAAAGGAATCCTTAAACCAAAAAGTATGACTAAAACTGTTGTAGTGGATAAAGTACAAGACTTGTACAGATCTGGACTCTAATCCCACCTTGGCCATGTGATCCTGCCCCAGTCACTTAACCTTCCTGGGCCTCTGTCTATTGATTGATTAAATGAGAAGATAGGATGAGTTCTTAGGTCTCTTCTTATGCCAAATCTGTGATCTTGTGATCCTTTGAATCTCCAGATGCTAGTACTTTTCTTTGATTTTTTTTTCCCTTCTTTAGTTCTTACTGGATGATCTTTCACCTGCTATCTTCATTGGCTCTACTATGTAATTCTTTTGAAGATAACCAGCTGCTTCTTTTGAACATTCAGCTTCCTTTGCAGGAAGAGGTGTCATATCTCTTCTTAAGCTGTAGCATTATGGCTGTCTTTGGCTTCTCCTTTCTCATTTGTAACACTTCCATCTTACAGCATCCAGATAAGAAGGATCATGTCTCCCTTCTTCCATCTCTGATTCCTTTTTTCCCCATTTAAGCCACACTTCTTTCTGATTTAGGCACACTTCAATGTCTTTTTTTTTTTTTTAACCTGGATAATCAGTCTTCAAACACAGATTATAATAGCTAGATAGATAACTGATTCTAAGCTGTGTCAGAAATGCAAATATTATATGTTTCATTCAGATCACAGCAGAGTTTTCCCTATTTTTCACTCTGAGATTTTCATCTGCTTCCCCCCTTTTAAAAAATACTAGAGGTAGCTGGCATACAAAATAGGGTCTACTTCACACATAAGTGGCTGTGTGACCGTGAGCAAGTCCTTTAACCTTCATTGTCCCAGGCAACTCTCTAAGACTACATGTTATAGAGAAGGTACTGGCTAGCATTGGTAGAATAAGTTTCCTCGAGGGGTGCAAATGTCATATACTTGCTTGCCCATCTTGTGTGACTTTCCTCCAATCTTTCCAGAAACTCACCACCTTCATTGCTTTAACTTGACATCAGAAAGGTACCAGTGGAACGCTAACCACCCATTTGTCATCCCTTGCTCTTACCAAGTGACCAGCCCAACTTCTCTTTGTTTTATAATTTTTAGATGACATCTTCTATTCCTGTTCTTCTTTAGTTATATGTTAAAGCCTGCTTATGCCTACCTTGTGCCTTTCCATACCCCTCTACATGATGCTTATCCTTGGTACTTCAAAGATAGTGATGTTCAAAGTCTTCATGCTGTACAACAATACCTGTAAGATATAGTGAAAAGGTAGGACTTTACTGTAGTTTGAAAATTCGATTAGTAAAAGTGCTTTGCAATTTCCTGAATTTAGTATAACCCCCTCTCCTTTTTTAACTCTGAGTTCATTGTTTTGTCCATTTGTATTGTCTTCTAAGAAGTACCTACTGTTGGACTTGCTGTATAGCATGTTCATTTAAATGCATATTGAAATCTGGGGAATAAATCTTCATGCATTTAGTCTTTCCTATGTGGGTAGACAGCCACTTTGAATCAACACAATAAGTGCCTATCCCTTTTTTAAACAAACTACTTATGGGTCTTTGTACTTCAAAAGCTCCTAGGTCCTAGAGCCAATTATCACCTTTTAATAACTTCACGATATTACTCAACTTACTTAGTTTCAACAACTCTACTACCATGTTCCCATCTTTTCCCTGCAGCAGCCTCCTATTTTTTACTATTTTGTTCCAGCCACCAGACCATTTCAGTAATTTGTTTTACTTTCCAGTTATTTCACTTAGCTTTTCTTAAATATTTTCCCTTGTCTTTCCAACTACCTTCTCCAGTCTTCTTCTGTTTCCACTCCTAAATGCTCTTTGATCATTTTAGGAGGAAGAAAGGAAGCAAGCATTAAGTTCCTGCTATGTGCCAGATATCTAATTTTATCCTAACAACCACCCTGGGAAGTAGGTGCTAATATTATTTCCATTTTATAGGTGAAAAAAAAAACAAGGAAGACAGAGGTTAAGTGACTTGCCCACACAATTAGTAAGTGCCTGAGGCTGGTTTTGAATTCAGGTCTTCCTGACTCCAGGTGCAGTGATCTATCCCCAATGCCACCTAATTACTTTGATACTGTGTCTCGTTCAAACGGGAAGTACAATCTCAACTTGGAGATTGTTCTTCTGATTTCTCCAGATTTCTCTTTGCCAAATTCTACATTCTGGATCACTATTCTAAATTACTTACACAATTTCTTTTTTTCCTGTTTATTTAGGTCAGATCCTTTTCTTCTCTTCATCCTTTTTTTCCCTGTTTCCCACATCTTTCCCTCAAAAAAGTCAAGAAATATAATTACATATAAATGTCTTTAGGAAACTATATCATTTATCAATATATGGCCTTCAAACTTTATATTGGTAAATATTGTTCTGAAATAACTCAGTATTGTTAATAATTGATTATTATAAGAGCTGTTTCCTCCTGAATAATGGTCCAGTCTAGTTATTTATATTTTATAATTATTTCTACTCTTACCCTGCCATGCCCCTTCTGCTCCTCCTACCCCCCCAAAAAGTTGCATATACTAAAAATCAAATAACACTGAAATTGAACATTCAGGAAATTGAAATCTTACGTTTCTTGATGTAGACTATGCAGTCTTTAGCATTTTATTTATCAGTTAGTAAACATGCATTAAGTGCTTACTATGTGCCAGGCACTGTGCTAAGGATACAAAAAAAAGGCAAAAGACAGTCCTTGCTCTCAAGAAGCTCGCAATCTGATAGCAAAGACAGCTTGAAAACAACTGTATACTAACAACCTTTATACAGGATATATTAAGAACATTGGTCCCACGTAGCCTTGATCTTGAAAATATTTCTTCTGGATTGCATCGATCATATAGATACTTATCTAGTCTATCCATAATAAGTAAAGGACCAACATGGTGCAACCTAGTAAAAATTTATAAACCATGGACATATGTCAGTGATTTTATCTATCTAGAACCTCATAGGTATTAAAATAAATAAAATCAACACGTTTAAAAAATTTCCTAACATAAATAATTGCTTACTTTGGATGAGTCCTGTGTGGATTTATTTGAAATAGTGACAGTTTTTCTCTCTTTAAAAAAATTTTTTTTTTACAATGATGCTGTAAACAATTTTCTAGCCTCAACACCTTGTTCACAGTAGACATGAAATAAAAATTAGCTAATTTTTTAGTAGTCATACTTCATGATTGGGATTAATGCTTCTTGGGTAGGTCTCTACAGTCTAAATCATAAATGCATCTTGATTTTTAGTAACTTTTTATCCAGTAGCTTTCTTCATTACTCTACTGTCTTTGTGCAGGTTTGTCCACAAACTTTGATATGTGATCCGTGGTATCTTTCTTGCTGGTTGTAGTAGTTTTCCCACTGGTTAGCTTAAGAGAATTAATCTTCATTAATTTTTACTAGATTATGTATTGCTAACTAACATTTTGTTCACTTTTTCAGGCTTTGGATGGTCAAAATATTTATAATGCATGCTGTACTCTAAGGATTGATTTTTCCAAACTGGTTAATTTGAATGTAAAGTACAACAATGATAAAAGTAGAGATTATACTCGACCTGATCTTCCATCTGGTGATGGACAACCAGCTTTGGACCCAGCCATTGCTGCAGCATTTGCTAAGGAGACATCTCTTTTAGGTATGGATTTTGTTCCCTGAAATATTTTCTTCCCACTTTGTTTAATTGGAAGGTACCATTTAAACTATATTATAATACTCCAAAGAGTCAGTCCTTTAAAATGTTGGTAAGTTGTTTTTTGATAGTTTTTGTTTTTCTCAGGTGAGAAAGCACATGAATGTTATTTGAACAGAACTCTAAAGGTCCTTCGCAGGTTTCGTTAAAAAAAAAAATACCACAGAAATACAAAGCAAAGCAAAAATATAGAAGATACATGTGGAACTCTCATTAGCTTTAATTATACTTCATATTCTGATATACCATTACTGTCTTTTAGCATCTGGTGTCCTTGTGCATGTTCTTAAGTGCTAATCAGATTTTCTTATTTAGTACAACATAGAACCAGTCAGATTAAAAAAAAAAAAAAAACAGAAGTAATGCTATGAGGAGAAATGGCATGTGTATTTATATATAGCATTTCATAGCCTCTATTAATTTTCACATTTGGAAGGTAATCCTTACAGATCTTGCTTATAGCTTCTTTGTATTTCTCTTACGATTTTAGGATTGTTGGGGGCAGTGAACTGGTATAGTAACTGTAGTAATGAATTTCTTCTAATGGGTCTGTTTAGAGAAAGATTTATTTTATTATTATGTATCTATTTTGCCATTTGTTTGATTTTTAAATTTCAGTTTATATCTAGATTAAACCCTAAATATTTTTATTAGTAATACTGTATTTAACTGTTTATGCAGTTTAACATATGTGAGTATGATTTTTTTTTTTCTGTCAAAGTGTTGATAATCATAGAATACTCATTTAGAAAGCAATTTTAAAGATCATCCTGATCATGGATATTTAACCTGGAATTTGAACTTTTTAAAAAATATTTTGATAACTACCTTTCAGTATAATTGATTTACTTTATAAGCCTATGTATTTTAATTTACACATTCAGACCCCTCGATCTAAATGGACACCCCTGCACCACACCCAAGATACTGGCTCAAAAAAGTTAAATAATTTTATTAAAATCATGTAGTTAGCATGTGGCAGTCTAAAACTTAAACCTAGGACTATGATTGTACTTAACTAATTTGCACATACTTACATTGCTTGTCTCCCTGATCTTCCTTGAAGTAAGGAAAACACTTTAAGAATTTTGAACATTCAGAAACATTTTGCATTTAGTCCAAAAGTAAAATGGGCTGCTTTGCGAGGGAGTGGCTTCCCTTTTCCCAAGGGTCTTCGGTAATGACTTGGTGACTATTTTTGAGGTATTTTGTGGAGGGTATTAATAATTGCAGTGATACTAATATCTCTATAGCACTTATCTTATATATTGATCGAGTTATATGTTCTCTTTGATCCTTTCCAGCTTTTAGATGATATGATTCTACTGTGACTATGTAAAAATAGTGACCAAGTGTCACTGAGTGAAAGTATAAATGTAGGTACATATGGAGAGACAGATAAATAGATAGTAATAACACTGGGCCCTGAAAGGCATTGTTAGCAGAGTACAAAACCTGGTATAGGACTTTGTAAACAAGTTGCAAAAGCTTCCATTAAGGTCCAAGCCATAGTCTATGTGTGAATCATCAGAAGACCATCCTAACAAAGTTTTAAAAGGGTTGCCATAAAAAGAGGGGCATCTGGGTGATGATTTTTTGGTGACAAATTCTTTAAGGCTTGCTGAGTCTGTATACACACATGCAACTAGTATATATATCAGAGGCAGGATGGAGCATCCACCCATCCTTTCTGACGCTGGGGTGTCAACCCTGTAACCACTACATTAAAATGCTTCTGATCTACATAGATCCATGTATATATGTACATACATATAGTTTCATTTCTTTGGCTTTAGAAATAGCCTGGTGCTTTCTTCCTAACAAGTACATGGTATGCCTTACCTATTTTTCATCATGACCATGTCATAAAGCTGAGAAACTTTTGAGCTGAATTTACTGATAGTGGATCAGCAGGTTTCTCTTTTTGGCCTAAGTGGTCCTATTTTAAGCCAAGATTTTTCCATTCCTCAGAATATCCATGGCATTGAATTCAAGAGTTGACAAGAAGTATTCTGGTTTCTTAGATTTTCAGGTTGGAACAGGGTACCCCCGGCAATAAATCTCAAGATTATTTTCTAAGAGCCAGAGGTATTCATAGCTAAGAGCTGCCAAAATAAATGTGGGTTACTTTCAATGGATATGGATGACCGCCAGCATATGTGGGTAGTTAAATTTTTTTCTGTGCCTTTTTATGGATTATGTATTTTATATTCTGCCAGTTTTTTAAAAAACGTAACTTTTTAAAGATTTGTGTAGTTCAGTTCTACACAAGAACCTGAGGTTTTTGTCAAAATATATCCCAATATTGAAGATTTGTTTACAGTACTGCACAACATTGCCTTTTTTTGTACCTAGATAATTTTCTGACATTATTACAGTTCAGTTTAACAAGTATTTATTGAATACTTATTATTTTCACATATTGTTCTCATTATGTATGAGTAACTACTGAAAATGTTAATTAGTGCTGCTGACATTTGGCCTGTATTCTTGATTCCTAGATTGCTTAATGCAACCTATGGATTATGCACTCCATAGAGAACAAAAATAATATATAAAAGAGATAGAACACCCAATGCTTGTTATCATATATGATGGGTAATTAGATATTAGAATTATAGCATTTTTTTAGCACATCAATTATCACTCATAGTTTGACACACCCACCATATATCTTTGCATTACTCTTTGGGTCAACTGCAGTTTTGATTGTTTTGCGATTGCGGTATTCCATGACTCACAGTCACATATCATCATCAGGAAAACTGTTATTTTAAAAAACCGTTCAAATATCAGGCAGGACTTTTTTTACTGTATTTTTGAGAACAAGTATTTAGAAAATGCTATGTAGTCTACATTCTGTAATTTGTATTTTGTGGCATTTTGTTTCTCATTTGAATTGATTTTGACTTAATGGTGAAAGGCAGCATGATATAGTGGATAAAAAATTGGCCTCATAGACAGGAATTTAAGGGTCCAAGACTAGTATCTATACTAGCTGTGTGATCCTCTGCCAATTAGTGGTTCAGGCGACTCTCAGATTATAAATAGTAAAGCAGTTACCCATCTGCATTGGTATAAGGGTTTCCTCAGTAAGAGTTTGCAATGTCATTGACATCATGGATCTGGATCTCAAAATAATAGAATTTTTATTTTTAACTAACTGCTAAGTGAAATCTCTGGCCCAGGTATCATTTTGTTTGGTTTATTAAAAATGTTGCTTTGTAGTGTTACATAGTAGGAATGCTACCTGAACTTAAATGCTTCAGTGGATTTTTTATCTCATTGTTCTAAGTACTCCCTTTATTGGTGCTGATTATATCCCATCCATACCTTGGATCCATGTCTTCCTGTTATCCTGTAATTCATCATGGAGCGTAGATTTAGAGCTCAACAGGATCATAGATACTATCTGATCCAGTTCCTCCATTTTACAGACGAGCAGACAGAGATTAAGTGATTTGCCCAACTCACGTCCTCAAAATCTACATCTCTTTCATTTTCTACAAGCCAGAGGTTTTCCTCTGGGTCAGACCTGCACAACTTGGCAGTAGGTAGGTAGCCAAAATTAAAATAGGCTAAACTTCTTGAGGTCGCAGATAGGTTAGACTGAAAGCAGACTGGTGATGATGGTTGGTTGCCATGAGTCACGTGATAAACAGGAGAATGCATGGTGGCAACCCTGTATTTTTTGCAGGCAGCCTGAAGTCCTTTGGTGGGCCACATGTTGTGCAGGCCTGTTCTAGGTCTAAATGGCACATGGGAACAAATGACATACTTAGAATGTAGGCTGTCCATTTTAAAATTTCTAAAATGAGTAGCCCACTCTGTGCCACATACGAGTCATTATTAAGTGATCTTCCTAAAGTGCAGGTCTGATTATGGCACCTCATCCCCTTTTTCCTCCAGTACACTCCAATGGCTCCCATTTCATTACCTCCAGGATAGAAAATAAAATCCTTTGATTGACTTTTAAAGACTTTCACAACAACTTTTCCAGCTATCTTATACTTGACTCCCCTCTGTGTATTCTACCATCCAATATCATTGGCTTTCTTGCTGTTCCTTACATATAATACTCTATCTCTGAACTCTTTACCTTTTCTCTGACTTTTTCCTATTTCTGAAATATTTTCCTTTCTTATCTCTGCCTTCTGGCTTCTCTGATTTCCTGTAAGATTCAGTTCAAATCTCACCTACTTCCATCTTTCACTGGAAGCTTTCCCTAGTCCCTTTTAAATCTAGTGCCTTTCCTCTGTTAATTATTTCATACTTTTTGTTTTTGGCCTAGGCAGTGGGGTTAAGTGACTTGCCCAGGGTCATACGGCTAGTAAGTGTTATGTGTCTGAGGCCGGATTTGAACTCTGGTCCTCCTGAATCCAGGGCCTGTGCTCTATCCACTGTGCCACCTGGCTGTCGCTATTTCATACTTTTCGTCCTTCATGTGGCTTGTGTTGTATATATTTCTTTGCATGTTGTCTCCTCGTTAGATGGGCAGGGACTGTTCTTTTGCTTCTTTTGTATCTCCAGTGCTTAGCACGGTGTTTGGCACATAGTTGGCACTTGATAATTGTTTCTTGATTGATTTTTTTTTTAAAGCATCAGTAAAAGCCTAATGCACAAACAGATAAGCCAACAGAGGATTCTGAGAATCAGGAGGAAAAAAATGAGTAAAACTGCAAAGAAAAAAAACATGATATTATTAGCAAATATACCAGGAAGAAATTAAACTAGTAGTACCTGATGAAAGGTAGAGACCTATGGACTCCCATAAATTAGGTAAAAACAAAAACTTCAGAATGGCTCCAAAGAGAAGTAAAACTTGTGAAAAATGAAATTAGGAATGAATTTAGGTTTAAACTAACTCAAGCATTACAAACTAGGCACAGTAGAAAAACCTATCATTATTTTGTTTATGTGATAGATTGTAGATAATCATACTTGGT